TAAATAAGAATTATAGATAAAATAATGTAGAAAGTGTTACTTCATATTTCTGAAAATAATATTTCTCAAATACTATATCAAATAGTAGATTCTTTTAAGTGCATTGAAAAAATTTGATTTTAAATATAAAATCAAAATTCATGTATATAAAGTATAATATTGACACATATAACAGTAAATTACCAGAAAGAGTTATATGTTTACTCATTCTTAGTTTAAAATAAATTGCGAAAACGATTTAAATAAAGTAAAACAAAATTCAATTTAAATTCACAATATTTGCATAAATATATTGACAAATATTGTAATTTTTAGTTGAGAAATATCATTGAAAATATAAAATGCTATTTAGACATTACTTTGATTAATTTCTATTACGAATAAAATATATTTATTTTTTTCAAAATATTACTACTTGCAGAAGAAAATATTTGTTTTTAAAAACCTAAACATTTTTAAAAGAATGCAATGTTTTACCTGCGGAAGTATTATTTTTACGAAGAAATAAAATATATTCATTTGTGTAATAACATTAGTAGAAAAAATAATATATATTATTTTCAGAAGTATCACTTTACGAACATACAAGATATGTTTTTTTTTTAATAAATGTATGACATAAATCAAGTTATTTATTTACTATTTATTATGTATTACAACATTATAAGTAGTTATTGACTTCGGTATTTGTTTAAGATTTATATCATATATTAATTGATTTCTATTGTGTTAAAAGTTCTAATGCATTACGTAAAATTATTCTAATATTAAAAATTTGTATAGATTTAAGGAAAAATATAATTACATAATAGTTTTGATTAATTAACATCCTGTAATTATTTCTAAAAACCTTTTAAAGCTTATTTCTTCATTCTATTCCTCAAGTGCGCTTTCTGTCCTCCATTCTTTTTGAACACATAGCCCAGATACCTGAATTCCTTCACCTCCTCTATCCTTTTCCTCTTCCAATTCCACTCTAATTCTCTATTTCTCCCTCCTCCACTCCTAAATCTTAATATCTTTATTTTCTCCTTGTTTACCTCTAATTTTTTCCTGTCGCAATTCCCCTCCATCCTCCTCAGCATGCCCACCACTTTTAATGCTTAATTTCTTTCACAATTCTATTATTGTATATATTTACATATCTATATTTGTATACTATTCATTTCGATTGAGATGTATTTGATTTCCAAACAAAAATTTGTTTACAATTAACCAACCAATGAACAGGGACATTAACTAACACATAAAGTCGTTAGCTTAGGTTATTCTCCAACGTTTTTCAATCTATATATGAAGAGATTAATTCTCTTAATTCTCTAATGTTCATCGAGTTTACATAGAAGTTGGTAAGTGTTTGCAAAATCGTTACGTTGATCTAGCATTTTGAATTAAAAAGGACAAAAAGACTTTATTTGTATTTAAATTTAATTATAGTAAGATTGTTTTAATGTAACTGTGTATGTTTTTTTATCATTCCAATAGTAAGATACTTTTACATATTTTTATTCAATTTAATCTTCACTTGATCATTATTTAAACTATTATGAAATTTTATATTAGTTTGTAACTTTAACAAAGCATTTCTTGTTTCATTCTTTCTATTTAAATMTTTMATTTCTTTTTACCATCAATGATATTCTGTCTTTTTGTTTTTATATTTAAAAGCTCATGTATAACTTGAAACTTAATTCTGATTTATTAATTATACTAATTAAAGGAATTGAATCATTTAATAAATAATAGAATTACTGAGACAAGAAATTGAAGCCTCATCATTGTATTGGTATTTAACCAAATCATTTACCTATTGGTCTATGGTAAGTACATAAAAATGTGCAAAGATAAAAGTCGAGTTAACAAACTTATCTTAATTAATTTCCTTTTTTGAAGTGGACTAGTAACATACAATGGCTACGATCATTCTAGTGATACTTTTTGTTATCTTTGCAAATATTTTCGCTAATAATCCTGAATGCGAGAAGAAATCGTATTGTGAATGCTGGAAATATAACACTAATGTATCAAATATTGTTAATGTACACAACAAAAATGTGACGTTTAGAATAAACGTGAAATCGTGGTCAAATATTCAGGTACATACTAAGTAGCTTTTTTATTTATTTATATTCAGTTAAATACACATTTCATTCTAGACATGATATATTATACGTAATTTATTAAATAAAATTTGTATTTTCTTGAAATACATAAAATTCCAATTTAACAGATCGAGTGTGGAGATATTAGTTGGAATGATTTTAATTTCACGCAAATAAAAACCAGAGGAATCCTCGATTTGATAGTGTTTAAGAATTGCACATTACCAGAAGAAACTAGATTACAATATATTGTCAGAAAATTAGGAATTAAAGAAACAAGTGGACTAGGCTTTCAATCTTATAGAAATCTTAGCAAAAGTCTTAAAAAGAATCATTTTCTAGGATTTCGATTTTTGAACAAATTAGATTTATCCCATAACGGTTTAACTAATATATCATCTGATTTGTTTAGCAATTTACCTAATTTGGAGTTTCTTGATTTATCTGAAAATTCTCTCGTTTTAAGAAAAGATTTTTTTAATGAGACTTTGAATCTTAAGCAACTTGATTTACAAGGAAATGGAATAAAAGAGCTATCCGATAATTTATTTTATAATCTACAGCATTTAGAAACTCTAAATCTTCAAAGAAATTTATTGAAAAACCTTGATGAAATAATATTTTACAAATTAGGGTTGTTAAAAAATGTAAACCTATCATCAAATTTGTTGTGGGATTTACCGCAAAAAATTTTTCATAATTCAAAGCAATTAGAAACAATTGATTTGTCTAATAATTATTTTATCAGTCTTCCATTACAATTGTTTAATCAAAATAAAAAATTATTAAAAGTAGTCCTTAACGATAATAAAGGAAGATTAACAACATTGACGGATGAACTTTTAATGAATTTAGAAAATCTTGAAGAGGTTTCTTTCAGAAGAAATGAATTTAATAATATACCAGAAAAACTTTTCGGGGGTTCAACATCGTTAAAATACATTGATTTCAGTGAGAATTTTATTAAAGAATTACCCGAATACATCTTTATAGAATTAGAAAATACTGAACGTCTCTTTTTAAGTCACAATTTGATTCAGACCCTTCCTGATACAATTTTTAAATATTTGCAATATTTAGAAGTACTCGACTTGTCTTTTAATCGTATTAGTTATGTACCAAGGTAAATTATTATCAAATTTATAATAAATGATATATTTTCAATCTAATAAGTGTACAACTGAGCTTCCGTTATTTTTTCTACAAGTCATATCTGTATGAAAATTTCGGAAAGCAAAGTTTTACACCAAATATTGTTCTTCAAATATAAATATTTTTTTAGTACACTATTTAACGGTTTGACATCGTTAAAAGAACTTAACATGGAAGGAAATCATATGAGATATATCGAAAAAATGGCATTTTTTACCAATAAACAACTATCCATTGCTAAGTTCTCAAATAATCTTCTAGAGTTTAATTATTTAAATAAAACAACGTCACCTTTTTTTAATAATCATCTCCTTAAGGAATTGCATTTATCGAACAATCTAATGAAACATCTTTTTTCTGATTGGACTACAAATAAACTAGAGTTAGAATTATTAGATCTGAGTTACAACTACATAAGTAAAATAACGGTACATATCAAATTTTGCTATCCATAAATACATTACATAATCTAATTGAAATGATTAAAGATGAGTTTATTTAATTTATTTTTTTTTGTTTTTCTTTTATAGGTGAATGACTTTGTTTTTACGTCGGATAAAGTTCTAGTAGATCTAAGTTATAACAACATAAGTAGAATTTTACTGAGTAATATCGAAAAGTTGGTAATATATAATAGAGAAAAACGTAATGTTATTGTTCACGTTGAAAACAATCCCTTAATATGCGATTGCAGTTTATACGACATTGTGCGTTATTCTAACGGTGATATGCCCATTACTGTTTATAATTTCTTTGAACTTAGATTAGGAAACTTAACGTGTGTGAAACCTAATGGAACACAAGGGCCACAAATTAATCAGTTGGATTTTAAAACCTACCAATGTCTCGAGGATGACTACTTTCAAAGTGAAAAAATGTGTCAAACTAGGTGTACTTGTTATATAAGACCGTATGATACAACGCGAATTTTAGATTGTTCGTACAATAAGTTTTCTCTATTCAGAATCGACAAGAATAAAATAAAATTGAAGGAAAGTTTTCCATTAATGTTAGATCTCACAGGGAATTTTTTAATGCAAATACCATTAGTCGATGATTTAGAAACAATTATCTTAACGGGATTATTGTTATCTAATAACAAAATTTCTGAAATATCAGTGTATAGATTACCAACAACTCTCAAAGTACGTAAATAACTTATTTGATTATTTTTTCTTTTCATTCATTTGAATTATTTCATAACTTTCACTTTTATTTTCTTTTATGTTTTTAGGTATTAGAATTACATAATAATAATCTAGTAAAGTTGAGTTACGACGTAATTCACTACTTGTATTATCAAGATTTGAAAGAATTAACTTTGAGCGGGAATCCATTTAAATGTGATTGCGATTCAAGATTTTTATATTTATTAGTTTTGAAATTGCAAGATACTTATAAAGATTTAAAAAATGTGAAATGTAAGGACCATAATATTACTTTAGTTGATATGACTATTAAGCAATTGTGTCCATCCAATGTTWCACCTGAAAAAATCATCAAAACTGTGGAATAAAATGAAACTTACATAAAGGTTTGAGCGTTTTTAGCAAAAGACATTTTTATTTCTTTGCAATCAAGTGTTTAGTATTGTCACTTTTAATGTAAAATTGTATAATTATATTTATTGTCTTTTAATTATTAATATATTTGAATCAATGATGTTATGGAAAACGATAGTAGAAGCATTTTTTCACATATCAGGACAATTTGCCAACTATTATTTTTGTAAAGTGTTTTTATTTACTATTTATTATGTATTACAACATTATAAGTAGTTATTGACTTCGGTATTTGTTTAAGATTTATATCATATGTTACATTGATTTCTATTGTATAAAAAGTTTTAATGCATTACATAAAATAATTCTAATATTAAAAATTTGTATAGATTTAAGGAAAGATATTAATACATAATAGTTTTGATTAATTAAAATCCTATAATTATTTCTAAATACCTTTTTATTCTTATTTTCCTTCAGTACTATTATTGTATATATTTATAATACTATATTTGTTATTACTGTGTCACTTATTCCAACTGAAATCTGTTTGATTTTTAAATAAAAAATTGTTTACAATTTTCGAACCAATAAACTAAGGAATAAACTAACACATGAAGTCGTTAGTTTCGGTTTTCCTCAAATGTTTTTCAACTTATATTTGTATATATAATTTTCTAAATTCTCTCATATTGTTTATATTTACAAGGAAGTAAGTACGTGTTTGAAAATCGTTACTTTGACCTAACATTTTGGATTGAAAAGAACAAAGAGACCTTATTTGTATTTTAATTTGATTATTGAAAGACTGACTTAATTTAACTGTCAATGCTTATTCATCAATCGAAAAGTTAGAAGAAGAAGCTACATCATACAGCAATTAAGCAAAATCATTAAACAAATACATTTTTGTATCAACGATCGTAGGTAAGTTCATAACAATGCATAAACGAAAAAACTAGAACATTTGGAATATATTAGAACTAAAAGCAAAGTTACATCACAAATTCCCTTTATTAAATCTGCATACCTTAAAGAAGTGAATTTAAAAATTGTTTTCTAATTATTACAGTAACGTTTCTCTTTAAAGTATTCTAATTATTTTCTTTTTTGAAGTAGACTGGTAACTAACAATGGCTAAGATCATTTTCGTGGTAATTTTTCTTATCTTTACAAATATTTTCGCTGATAATCCTGAATGCGAGAAAGAATCGTTTTGTGAATGCTCGAGAAATGAAGATAATAAATATGCTTATTACATTTCAAACAAAGGTGTGAAGTTTGGAATAAACGTGAAAACATGGATACCTAGTGAGGTATATATACTCAGTAGCTTTTCAATTTATTTATCAAATCTCATTCTAGACATGATATGTTATATGTGATTTAATAAATAAAATCTATATTCTCTTTAAATACATAAAATTATAATTCAACAGATCAAGTTTGAAAATGTTAATTGGAAAGATTTTAATTTTATAAGAGAAAAAGACAGCGATAAAATCGATTCAGTGAATTTTGAAAGTTGCCTGTTACCAGAAGAAACTACATTAAAAGATATTGTAACAAAATTAGGAATAATTAAAATAAATAGACTAAGCTTTCAGTCTCATAAAAATCTTAGCAGAAGTCTAACAAAGGAACATTTTCGAGGATTTTCAAATGTGACCGAATTAGTTTTATCCTATAACGGTTTAACTAATATATCATCTGATTTCTTAATAATTTTTCCTAATTTAAGATGTCTTGATTTGTCTGAAAATTCTCTTGTTTTAAGCAAAAATACTTTTAATACAGCTTGGAATCTTGAGAAACTTGATTTACATGGAAATGGAATAACAGAACTTCCCTTTGGTATATTTCATGATCTACAGAATTTAAGAACTCTAAATCTTGAAAAAAATTCATTAAAAACACTTAATGAGGGAGTATTTGATAAATTATATTTTTTAAAATATTTAAACCTATCATCAAATTTGTTGTCGAGTTTACTGAAAAATATTTTTAAAAATTTAGTGATATTAGAAACAATTGATTTGTCAAATAATAATTTTTGGTATCTTCCATCAGAATTGTTTACTTTAAATAAAAATTTGAAAAAAATATTAATACAAGATAATAAAGAAAATTTAACATCATTGCATGATGTATTTATAACGGATTTAAAAAATCTTGAAGAAGTTCATATGAGAAACAGTAAATTACAGTTTATACCAGACAAATTTTTCACGGGTACAACATCTGTAAAATTCATCGATTGGAGTGAGAATATTTTTGAAAAAATAAAAGAAACGACCTTTGTAGATGTATTTAATACTATATATCTTAACATTAGTCATAATAGGATAAAG